TTTTCCCCTAGCTATGGCTAATTAGTATATCTTGTATTACTAAAACCATTAGTATCTAAAACAAATAAAATGTACAATCTAAAAGTATCTGGCTTTAAATAAACTGCAAAGTGTTGGTAAACCGTAAAAATGCATCAATCAAATAAATATAAATGACTAAAGCTCCTACCAATGTCAGAAGATCGTAGCGCGGAGTAAATTTTCTAATTAATTTAGTTCAATCGTTCTTATCAGCCCCATTGTTATGGCCTTGTGTCAGATTAGGTTAATCGTATTAAATAGCCAGTCACAGGCGTGCATAAAATAAATGTACACCCACAACGTTCTTTCATCGGCATATATCGAGAAAGAAAACGATAAGACAGGTCTGAAGTGGACTGTAAAGAGCCGATTTAAATTATTTTCCCAACCAGCTCATATCCTGAATGACAAGCGAGAAAATGGAGAGACGCTATCAAATAACCGGGCACCTTTGCGAACAAAAGAAGAAAAATAGTTCAGTTTAGGGATTTCAGGTGAGAGGAGGAGGCGATGGTAGCCTTACTTCACCGGCAGACGACAAACACTTTCATTGTCATTGTGCAACCGGCGTCTGCTGTCATTCGACATAAAAGATAATAAAAGAAAGTGTGCCGAACGTTTGAGGAAACAGAGGCGAAGGAGAGAAAACGAATTGTCTACTGAGACAGAAATTACAAAATTCACTATATCACGAACTGAAATTTAACAATAAACATTAAATATGATCTATATATATATATATAGTGAAAAGTGTCTGTATATATATATATATATATATATATATATATATATATATATATATATATATATATATAATTATGTATATATTATATGCGCGGTACTTATTAGAAAGCGCTCAATATCAGAGATATAGCTAACATATTTGGTTGGATTGATGTGAGTTTGTGACCCTGGGTTTCACGTTTTTGCGATCGTCAGACAAACGGCTTTGAAATTTTTCATGTAACAAAAACAGACTATCATCATTGTTTCGTCCGTGTATTAGTTGATATATTGAAAAGTAATTGTCATCTTTGATAAAGGCTTAGGTAAGCCGAAAGATAAGATTGGATTTAAACATGTATCGATATGGTGATTTCCTTTCGTCTTTAATGATAATGCTTATCAGACAATATGAAAGGAACTTACTTAAAATAAATAGACAAAACTTGTCTATATTATTTAATGAAACATGCATTTATGAATATATATATATATATATATATATATATATATATATATATATATATATATATATATATATATATTAAAAAAAACAGACCAAAGGTTCCATGTAATAAATTATTTCACCTCAGCCCTTTTAAAAAGTGCGGATCATCAGACTTTACTTCCAAAAAAAAAAAAAAAAAGTAAAGTCTGATGATCCGCAGATTTTTTAAAAGGGCTGATTTGAAATAATAAATAAAATAATAATAAAAAGACAGGTTTAAACTAAAGAAGAAAAGTAAAAAAAATATATGTTAGAGGTTTGCGGGTGTTATTCATACTTATCTAGATGAATTGTCATTTTTAGACGTGTTACCATTACTTCCAGTTAATAAATATAATTTTAAGATACAATGAAATAATCACACACACACACACACACACACACACACACACACACACACACACACACATACATATATATATATATATATATGTTAATTTTAGGATATTATTTTTTGAATTATTTTTGTATATACTTTGGAAAGAGGTCTACTAGTATAATTAAATCATTTTTATCTATATTATATTATTTTGATCCCAAAATACAATACTTATTATAGTCACTAGGCCATAAGACATGGCAATATGTACCATTATATATAAAATAATGGATGTATAATTGTAATTGTTTATGAAAAATTCAATTAACTATATTTTAACGTAAACATTATACAATGCCTACAAATTGCAGTCAGTTTATTCCGCTGATTTAATGGATCATTATTGTTAGGAAACTTAATAATATGCAACTTTTCATGTAAACGCAAGGGACATGAGTCATTTAAGGACTTACAAATTCTCGTTTTTTTTATTATTTAAAATTTTTTCTGTGGGGGTTTTATTGATTTCTTTTAAATACCAAACATATTTAGAAAGAGATGTTCGGTTACGGTACTCATTGTAGTTAAAAGAAGAAATATGTTGATACCACCTTCGTTTAAAAGAGTCTACCAATATAAAATTTCTTAACATCTGGGTTTTCAGTCGATGAAATGGTGCGTTGGTAAACAATACATTCAGTAAGACATTTATTTTGCAACGGACAATTTAAGGAATTTCTACAGTTACATAATTTATTATTAATAATTCGTATTTGAATTACTATTATTTTTATTTAGGTTTAAGTGTTTATTAAAATTTTATTATTTTTTTATAATTTTTTTCTAGATTATTAGTACAATTATAACTTTAGCGCATTTTTATTGAAAATCTTGCTAAGAGGATTATTACGTGGAAAATGTTTTTCAATCAAAGCAAGAAAATTTTACCCTACCTTACTGCTAACCATTGGTTAAATGTGGGTGTGTACCAAATGATTTTTCTATTTCTACTTTTTTTCCAGTCATTATTATGTTTACTGTATTTAATATCGGGGCATTTATAGTCACTATTTTAAAAGCATTATTATAAAAATTACAGCGTTTATAAAATATATCTTCGTTGTTCGTTGGCAGAGTTAATGTGTCTTTGATTGTTTCCTGCTGCTCGCCAACTTTCACCTTTTGAGAATTTGTTGGCCGAAAGAGTCACCTAAATGTAAAAAATAAATAAAATAATGAAGTCCATTATATATATATATATATAAAGTATTATTTTAATATCTATTCTATGGCGGTGGGAAAATCCCTTATAATACAATTTGAAAATTCAAATATAAGACAGTAGTACCCAGAAGATCTATTAGGTGAAAACTGGCTCACTGTATATATATATATATATATATATATATATATATATATATATATATATATATATATATATAACAATGGGTGAATAGGAATTTATCAAATTTTGCTTTATTCAATGTAGTGACAGAATGTTTTGTAGGCGTACAAGATTTAATTTTGCCAAAGGTTTTCCCTACGTGGAGCATAATCAGGCTAAAGAACAGTTACTAACATCACTTTCTCTCTCTCTCTCTCTCTCTCTCTCTCTCTCTCTCTCTCTCTATCTATCTATCTATCTATCTATCTATCTATCTTATAAACTTTCAAAATATCCATTGGCCATCAGATTTAACCAAGCCTTCATAGATGATAGCGAAAGATTATTAAAAGAATGATTACATATACATGATTATATATATATATATATATATATATATATATATATATATATATATATATATATATATACACACACACACATATATATATATATATATATATATATATATATATATATATATATATATATATATATATATTTATAATTTAATTTAACCAAGGAAGGCGAAATATCAGTACTAGGTAAGGGGTTACAGGTAGTGAAAGTAAGAGAAAGATGAGGAAAGATGAACGAGATTAAACGAAGGGAATTCCACAAGTGGAAGTGCGATAAAAGGAACTGTTGGAGGGAGTTAAAGTGGCGGTTGAATTTAGCTATTTCAACAGTCAGCGGGTGGGACTTAAATGCCAATCGAGTAGCACGAATAAAATTCATGTCGTCGGAGCACCATGGAAAAAAAGTTCGACAGTGTAGTTGCCATGAAATTTTTATAGAAAAGACAAAAGGAAGCCTCTTCACATCGGTGGAAAAATGACCGAATTCGTGATTCCTGGTCAGGATCAATTACATTGCAGACCCTTCTTCGGATTTTGTCAAGAATCTCGAAATGAACAACACGAGCACCAGACCAGATATGGCAATAGCATTCAATGTGCGGACCAATGGTAAATTTGTAAATGTGCAAGATGGATACTGACGAGAAGAATCTTCTAGGATGACGCAGTGACCCAATATATATATATATATATATATATATATATATATATATATATATATATATATATATATATCTATCGAAACGGCATGCCTATGGTTTCAAATTAATTTTTTAAAAATGAAAAATCTTTCTTGAAGCTTTTATTTTAGTTTCAATTCCAACCTAATAGATTGAATTCAATATTTCCATTAATCAAAATACTTTAGTGTATTTCAAAACTCATTTAAATTGAATGGAAGTAGTTCTTTTTTTTTAATCGCTACAAATCACTGATTTATATATTTGTAGTCATCTGTCAGCATAATATATTTCACTTTATTACCAAAATCTTTCAAAAACAAAATACACTTTTCTGAAACAGGGATATTAGCTCACACTCTTTGGGTCCTGTCACTGGATCTAACTAACGTCTTTATCCACTGTGCCATGTGTCCTTGAGAGTGTGAGTTCAATACCCGGTTAAGGCAGTGGAGAAGTTTCAGAGGGAAATTAGCAGGAGATAATTAATAACTGAGATCCATTAAACATGGAACTAGAACAGTCTTCTCCAGTGAGCGAAATAAAGGGTTCACTTCGACATTCCAAACACCTGAAGAAGGGCGGAGCGTACAACGGCCGAAACGTTGTAATAAATATAGCAACAAAGATGAGGACAATAGTCCGAATAATGTAAATAGTGTACATAATACCTCATCTCAGAAATATAGACAGATAATGAAGAGCCGAAACGTAATAAATATGGCAACAAAGATGAAGACATGTAAATAGTGTACCTCATCTTAGAATATAGACAGATATCGAACTCACTATGCTGGTACAAATTTTGGTATAGACTAGCACAAATAAATAAATAAATAAATAAACTAAAGAGAATTTGAGGAGGTGAGTTTGAGATAAATTTTAATGTGAGGATACCTGACTTGAATAGTGGTATTCTAAATGATGGCTTTTAAATTTGGTTCGAACACCGGCGAGCCAATGGTAACAATCAGAAAGAGCCAATGGTACCCATCGGAAAGAGCCAATGGTACCCATCGGAAGGAGCCATTGGTACAAATCGGAAAGAGGCAATGGTGCAAATCGGAAAGAGCCAACGCTACTAATCGGAAAGAGCCAATGTTACCAAACGGAAGGAACTAATATTACCAATCGGAAGGAGCCAATGGTGCCAATCGGAAAGAGCCAATGGTGCCAATCGGAAAGAGCCAATGGTACCAGTCGTAAGGACACAAGTTCGTACAAAACGACAAAAGTGAGACACTTTGTACAAATCAAATTCATTAGCAAGAGACTTGGTCATCACTACGGTATAGGTTTCCCATTTATTATAGAGTTGGTCTGGCATTGTATTATTGGAACTCCCGGGCAATGTCCTTCATTCTGATAATTGAATGTTGGTGGTCTGTTTGTCGACTCTGCCGAAGTACGAGTAGCAATTTGTAAGGAGGAAAAAATCCAAACATTACATTCTTGTTTTATTTATTTCTTTGAAAAAAAAAAAAAGAAAAGCACAAAAATAAATTACATCATGACAGGTGAAATGTTTGTTCAGGTGTGTCATGGGCAGACCGGGCACTTGCTTGTTGGGGTTTCTAGATAGAACTCTCCTCTTCCCTCCGTCTCTGTTTCTCGGAATCCGAGTTGGGTGTGCCATGACACTTCTGTTTTTTTTTATCGTGTTGTTGGAATAACTTACTTAAAACTAACCACCATTGATTTTTGGGCACTGAGTTCACCACAATATTTGATTGAACATGCGGTAATGGTTAACGATCAAGAATACGATCGTGACTCTGCGATTCTCTTTTCGTGAAGGTAACCGTTACTCTATTCACACATTGGTTGTCGCCCAAATTCTGCTGACAGTATGCGCATGTTCCTTAGGCGCTGAAAACAAACAAAAAAGCTCTTATTAATGACGCCCTTATCGTTGGAATAATTTTAAAGCCCTTAATCTTCGTTAATTCCCCAGTTAAATGCAATAAATATATATTAAAAATATAAACCCTTGTGCAAATTAATTGAAACAAAACGAATAAACCTGTTATTATTTTTTTTCGTATTTTTCTAATGAGACATGCCCTAGTGTTAGTACTTCGTATGTCTATTTCACAAAATTTTTTCTTGCAGAGTGACCACAGATTCTCGATTGGATTTAAATCAGGAGAGTTTCCGGGCCAGTCTATAGTAAGACTGTGTTCGTGCAACGTTACATTTTTCGTACGCTTCCTTGGAGTAACGTCCATCGCAGACAATGTCCATAGGACAACTAATCGACAGTCAAAACAATAGTGTCTGGGAGCGGAAAAAATATGATGCAATCACGGATGACAATATTTTTCAAGGCCAAACAAATTTCATCATACACCCCGAATATAGATTCATATTACTGCACACCACTGCAAATGACCTAATCTGAGAAAAAATATAGAAATCGGTTACACCCTGTTACTCCAGTGGGTCTAAAACTGGCCGTATGGTGAAAGAAAGGAAACAAAACGGTTGTTTCAATTAATTTGCACAAGGGTGTACTACAAAAAAATCTTCTATCCTCATGATTAAAGCGTCTCTCACAAATCCCTACGGGGGTCGTTCAAAAAGTCCTAAGCCTTACCAAGAAGAAGTTGGAGGAACAAGACAGTTTTTGCCATTTTTTTAATATAGTCCCCCTCAACTTGACATCAATGCATTTGATCCAAAGGTGTTTTAGACATTGCAATTCAATCACGGAAGAATTTGGCATCCTGGCCCTCCAAAAACTCCTCTTGAGTTTAGAAAACAGAAAGAAGTCAGATGGCGCTATGTCTGGTGAATAAGCGAGGATGAGGTAGCAATTCAAAGCAATCGTCGACTGCTTCAGCTACTGCAACCTGAGTAATGTGAACAGGTGAATTATCCTGGAACAAGAGCACACCTGTCTTCAGCTTTTCTTTACATTTTGACTTGATTGCTTCCTTCGGGTGTTTTAATTCGGATGCAGAATACCGTCTATTAATAGTTCTTTTTTTTTTCCTTTTCCCAAGTAGTCTGTCATGATTACACCTTCAGAATAAAAAAGAAAAAAACAAATAAAAAACAGAAGCTCGCACCTCCCCAACAGATGCTGGATACTTGAATTTCTTCGGGGATGCAGAGCCAAAGTGTTTCCAATAATTTGATTCTTTGGTTCCGATTCGAAATGATGAACCCAGGTGACATCTTGAGTCACTAATCTGCGCTGGAAATTCTCTGATGTCAGCATGGAATCGAGTCAGAAATGTTCTGGAAATATCAGCCGTTTTCAGCTTCTGCTCTGGTGTCAGAATTCTTGGGGGCCATCTTACAGACAGCTTGCTCATTCCCAAGACAGTATGAACCAACTCAGAACTAATGCCTATGGACTTACCTATTTGCTCGAAAATAATGAGCCGTCATCCAAAACCACCAGGTGAAAGGGCATCAACTTGTCCATCAGTGAGTGAGGTTTTTTTTTTCCTTTTTTCCAAGTAGTCTGTCATGATTACACCTTCAGAATACCCCACCCCCACCATAAAAAAAACACACACACACACAAAAAAAAAAAAAAAAAAAAAAAAAAACAAAAAACAGAAGCTCTCACCGTGCCAACAGATACACTATTTACATTATTCGTACTATTCTCCTCATCTTTGTCACCATATTTATTACAATGTTTCGGCCGTTGTATGCTCCGGCCTCCAGGTGGTTGGAATGACGAACTGAACCCTTTATTTCGCTCACTGGGGTAGACTGTTCTAGTTTAATAAATGTCAGTTGTCAGTTATCTCCTGCCAATAAATTTTTGAGAAAAAAATATTACCAGTAATAGATTTTTGGAAAAAAAAGAAAAGGAATATTACAAGCAATAAAAGTCTTGTCGGCATTACATAGCCCATTGAGGTCTTGTTATGCCCTAAAACAAAACAAACAAAAAAAAAAAACAACAAAGTATCAGTGTCTGTCTATATTTCTGAGATGAGGTATTATGTACACTATTTACATTATTCGGACTATTGTCCTCATCTTTGTCGCCATATTTATTACAACGTTTCGGCCTTTCAGTATCTGTCTGTATTTCTGAGATGAGGTATTATGTACAATATTTACATTATTCGGATTTTTGTCCTCATCTTTGTCGCCATATTTATTACAACGTCCCTGTCTTTCAGTATCTGTCTATATTTCTGAGATGAGGTATTATGTACACTATTTACATTATTCGGACTATTGTCCTCACCTTTGTCGCCATATTTATTACAACGTTTCGGCCTTTCAGTATCTGTCTATATTTCTGAGATGAGGTATTATGTACACTATTTACAATATTCGGACTATTGTCCTCATCTTTGTCACCATATTTATTACAACGTTTCGGCCTTTCAGTATCTGTCTATATTTCTGAGATGAGGTATTATGTACACTATTTACAATATTCGGACTATTGTCCTCATCTTTGTCGCCATATTTATTACAACGTTTCGGCCTTTCAGTATTTGTCTATATTTCTGAGATGAGGTATTGTGTACACTATTTACATTATTCGGACCATTGTCATCATCTTTGTTGCCATATTTATTACAACGTTTCGGCCGTTGTACGCTCCGCCCTTCTTCAGGTGGTTGGAATATGAAACTGAACCCTTTATTTTGCTCACTGGAGTAAACTGTTCTAGTTCCGTGTGACATTTCTAATGGATGTCATTTGGTTTATAATACCCAGAAATTCATACGCAGATGTCCTGAAGGACAGATGGCACAGCGTATAAAGGCGTTAGTTAGATTCAATGACAGAACCCAAAAAGTGTGAGTTCAATACCCGTTTATGGCTGTGTAGAACTTGGAGAGGGGGAATTAACAGGAGATAACTGATGACTGTGCATGGAAGAAGGATTGCTGTCTAAATACTCAATTATATATGTATATGTAGGATTGTTGTAGACGGAATAAATTCCAATAACCCAAAATACTATTTTAAAAAGAGTGCTCAATACAGAGTAGAGAAAATATTATTTATTCAAAAATTATAACAAACATGTTATAACATCAGTACAAAAATAGCCATTTTATTTCAAAACTGTTTGTGTCTTATCAGTTGAGGGCGTTGAATGTAGATGTTACATTCAAAACCCTCACTTGAAAAGACACAGAAAGTGTTGACAGTGTGTGTATATATATATATATATATATATATATATATATATATATATATATATAAAGCTGACACATTAAGTAAAAGAATCTCAGTCCAATACTGCCAAGCCCATCTCACGAGAAGAAATTCCTGAGTCTCCAAGGTTTTGATTGGACATAAAATTACTCATTCTTGATCTAACTAGCTCACCCGATGAGGCTGCATATTCTGCCATTAATGTCACCCTTTAATTCTTATTATGCATAGCATTTACTATCAGTACAAGTCTGTTTGGGCCTGATAAATGGTTTCGCTTTCTTTTTGGTATGGAACCCAGTGTGTTTTTCTTAAGTCTATTGACTCACCAAAGGCATTAGTCACCCACTTTGCAGAATTAATGAGCACGCCCGAAAGCTTAAACCTTTACTGACGCTCTCTAAAACGTGGTCAATGGAATTGATAAAATCATTCGAAATAAATCTAGGTCAGGTCAACAAAAAAATACATGGAAAATCATTTTCCGATGATGGCATTTCCTGATCAACTTTTATGGCTTCCGTTGACAATTTATCGAATCCAGTTTCCTTGAGCTGATCAAATGATTGGTTTGTGAGGGCGTTGCCATTAACGCAGGAACATTACAAGAAGGATTGATTTTCTAATCGATTTACACTTCAAAGAACTTATTCTTTTCAGTACTGACCTATTAATTTCGAAAGAATCCTTTGTCTTCTTCATTCTCTGAAGCGTCTTTCGGCCATGAATTATATGTTCTAAGGTATAAATATTGTCATTGCTCTAGGAAAGATACGGACGAAATTATCTTATTTGTTCTAAGGTATAAATATTGTCATTGTTTCTAGGAAAGATACGGACGAATATCCTTATCTTATTTATTTTGTATGAATTATATGTTCTAAGGTATAAATATTGTCATTGCTCTAGGAAAGATACGGACGAATATCCTTATCTTATTTATTTTGTATGAATTATATGTTCTAAGGTATAAATATTGTCATTGCTCTAGGAAAGATACGGACGAATATCCTTATCTTATTTATTTTGTATGAATTATATGTTCTAAGGTATAAATATTGTCATTGCTCTAGGAAAGATACGGACGAA